CTCCCTCATTAATCTATCTTTATCATCACAGATGAAGGCATCATCTGTAACAACCTTGGTTTCTACACCTCTGACAGATTGCAAAACTTCTATTGGAATAATTTCAAATTCAATATCATGTCGACACAAAACCACATCACCATCAATAGCCATGGCAGGTACGACCTCAGTGGTTTCTTCTTGTTAGAACACATCATCAGGTTGTACGTCATTCATCTCTAGCATATCTTAAATTCCTCGATGTTGAAACTTTTCTACGACTCTTCAATTGGTACCTAATTTGGTGTCATTAACATAGAATACTTGTTCAACTTGACTTGGTAATACAAATGAGTTATCTTTGTACCATCGACTTGTTATATCAACTGTTGTCAAATGTGGTTCTACACGCATAGTTCTACTACTACCGATGTTAAACCATTCACATTGGAACAATACAATCCGACGTCTGAACAAATAGTTTATTTCCCACACTCTGCACAAGTGTCCATAGAAGTGTATTAATTGGCCTTCATGCTCCTCTTCCACGACTAATCCACTATTCTGACTTTTACGACGGCTGTCACGGTCGATAGTATGAAAACGGACACCATTACAAATACATCCTGAATATGTGCTCACTAAGCCACTAGGACCATTGGCTAATGACCACATATCATCAGTTGCTTAGGGGGAAACTTGGCTCCGCAATTCATTCATCTACATGAAGAACATGTGTCATGTTACAAGCAGGCACAATATTAACGTAATATACGATTGATGGTAGGATATGAGAATAGTAGCTTACATGATCTTTGAATCATTTAGGGAATTCTTTCCGATGTCTGTTTTCGATGTCGAATGCACTGGCTCTTTGGTATAACAAGTTCTTGTGCTCCCTAGTTACAAGAAATGCGATTCAAAAATATTTACTAAGCTAAAGACTAATCAATTTACAACAAACATATTCTAAATACGTTTGAAGGATTCATATTCTACGTGTTTATCCACTTCTGTACTATTGTGTAGGACAAACCAATGAGCCATCTCGCATTCAGCTACAGACACATTGGACGCCCTTGTCATTAGACCAAAGGGACAGACATTTTGAGTGAATACCGCCAACCCTGGGCCACGGTCACCCATGTCATAATTCCTTTGTGGACGGTTAAACAATGTTTCAACTCCATCCAAATACATTGAACAAAATGTTGTACATTCCTTGGAAATGTAAGCCTCAGCAATAGAACCTTCAGGATGAGCTTTGTTGGCCACAAACCCTTTTAGACAGCCAAGCAACCTAACGATCAAGACGATGACAATGTTATACTGCAATCTTTATATCAGCAGTAAAGCATTAATTAAAATTTGACAGTAATACGAGGGCTGAGTTAATACCTCTCAATTGGGTACATCCATCGATATTGCACTGGGCCACCAAGCATAGCCTCTCGAGCCAAGTGAATTGCCAAGTGGACCATGACATCAAAAAAAGCCGGCGGGAAAATCATCTCAAGCTTACAAAGTATGAGTACGATTTGTTCATCCAATTTCTGCAAATCTAAATGCCTCAATGTCTTTGAACATAACTGTTTGAAGAAATTTCTGAACTCAAAAAGTGTCATTCCAATTTCCTTATTAAGGTAGCCACGCATCCCAATTGGAAGAAGTCGTTGTATAAGGACATGACTGTCATGACTTTTGAGGCCAGATAATTTTCCAACTTGAGCGGTCACGCAATTGGAGATATTTGCTGCATAACCATCATGGTACTTCATTGATTTCAAGAAATCACAAAAGCCTTCTCTCTCTTTCACAGACAATGTATACAATGCAGGAGGCTTCTCAAAGGACCCATTAGAACGCATCTTCAAGTGTAACTCTTTACGTATTCTCATGTCCTCAAAATCTAAGCGTGCATTTTCCGTGTCCTTGTTTTTTCTATCTACGTTCAAAAGTGTCCCAATGACATTGTCACATATATTCTTTTCAATATGCATGACATCAAGGTTGTGTCGAAGCTTCAGCGTTTTCTAATAGGGCAAGTCAAACATAATGCTTCTCTTGCCCCAATTCAAATTTTGATGTTCAGAATGCTTCCTTTGTCGTTTTTGATTTTGTGGGTGCTTTCCATACAGCTTGTAAGTCCCAGAATCAATTTGCTCTAGTATTTGTTCCCCCGATAAGTCCAAAGGTTTGGACCTATGCTCCGTTTGACCATTGAAGAGCTTACTTGTTCGCCAAGTGTGGTTCTCAGGCAAGTAGCGACGAGCACCCATATACCCTATTTTACTTCGTAAACCCTGGGACGATGCATTATTGTTACAATTAGGGCAAGCCAAGTAACCCTTTGTACTCTACCCTGACATGTTACCGTACGCAGGAAAGTCATTTATGGTCCATATTACTGCCGCATGCATTCTAAAAATTTGCCCGTTCGATGCATCATATGTTTGCACACCATGCTCCTACAAATTCTTCAATTCTTCTATTAGTGGTTGCAAATAAACATCAATGTCTCTTCCAGGTGCCGAACGTCCGGGAATAAGCAATGACATCATGAAATATGGCTCTTTCATACACTTCCACGGTGGGAGATTGTAAGACATTAAGATTACGGGCCACGTGCTATATGATGTGCTCATATTTCCAAATGGATTGAAACCATCTGTTGCCAGCCCTAGCCTTATATTTCGAGAGTCATCGGAAAACGTCGGATGTTGCTTATCAAAGTCCTTTCATGCTTCACCATCGGCCGGATGCCTTAATATGTCATCATCCACACGCTTCTCATTGTGCCATCTCATATCTGCGGCTATTTTTTTGGACATATACAGTCTTTTCAACCTCGGTGCCAAAGGAAAGTACCGCAATACCTTGTGTGGAATCTTTTTACCACCATCATCGTTCAACTTGTATCTACGCGCGTCACATGTAGGGCATTTCTCCAAATTAGCACTCTCCTTCCAAAATAGTGCACAGTCATTCTTGCACGAATGAATTGTTTCATATCCCAAACCCAAGTCATGTAAGAACTTCGTAGCATCATAGAGTGTCCATGGAACAGTTTGATCACATTCTAGTAGAATGTCCTTGAATACCTGCATAACCATATCGAATGACTTGTTGCTCCATTTGTTGTACACCATCACATGAAGCATCTTAATGACGAATGATAACACAGAGAATTTTCACAAGTCGGGTAAACTTTGTGTTGTACATCTTCGAATAATCTAATGAACTTATGCAAATCCTTCCTCTCCAAACCATTAGGTTCCTTGTCGGTATGATCATCCATAAGACCACTCACGTAAATTTCTTCCAACATAATAGGCAATTCATCCATGGGCGGATCATCGATATCTGTCATACATTCGCCACTACCTCCACATTGGTCATTTGATACACTAGGATAAGACACGGGAACATGTTCCCCGTGGTGCACCCAAGTTATACACGAATATGCCATTCCTCTTCGGAACAAGTGCATCCACACAACTTGCTTGCTATATTTTGTGCCATTAATGCAATCAACACACGGACACCTAATTTCATCCTCTACGCCTAAATTTGCCGTAGCAAAATCAAGGAATGACTTCATCCCTTGTTGATACTCTTTACTTGTCAACCGATTATTTATCGTCATCCAGCCCTTGTCCATTTTGTCACCTACAACTCACACAAAGATTAACCGAGGAACAAATGAGAACACACATTTCAAGTTGAGATAGATTATGTTGTTTTTCATTCACTGTTTGGCTTGTCACATAAATCTCTTTTACGATGGGACCAAATGACACGATTTGTACCATGCATTGTTCCCTTATAAAAGTTAATTTAATAAATGACCCGTAATTTTGGACCACTGGATAACATAACTAGTAGAGCACTAGTACTAGTGAAACCATATGGTCAATAATAGAATGATATATCAAAAGAATCAAAACCATTTTCATGCTCTCAACAGTTTGTGTGCATGACATGTTATTTATTCACAAAAAATGCCTCATGGGCACTCGTGAGCTTGAGGCAGTAAAAGCAAAATGTACAACATTGGCTGCAAACACATGATTTATGCATTGTTGCAATGGCTGAAATCAGCCGTTGCACATCCAACAGCCATAAAAAAAACAATAAAAAAAAAAAAACAAGGTGGGGTTTCAGAGAGATCAAAACTTGCAGCTTCACAGGAGAGGACGCAACCTTCCATGGAAGCTGAAGCAAAGAAACAGCAAAGATAAGAATTTGCAGTGCCTCGTGTAAAATGTTTACAGTGCTCAGCCACCATCATTGAGTTTTATGTGTTGTCACCAACTTTTGAGTTTTGATAAGCCATAATTTGATTATAGTCATCTAATTATATCTAAAATGGCGATAATAAATTGACTATCTGAAATTGGTTGATGATGCAGGCTTGGGATACAATTGTGTTGCTTCTAAAGTTTCTGCATTATATAAAACTATATTCAAAATATCATTGACACCATGAAAGGGGTATGTTAAGTGCAGCTCAAAGCGACTTGATATTAAGAATCATCAATAAAAAGTGAAGAGTGATTCTTCCAAATTATAGATATCACAAGAGGAGAATACAGTAAAAATATGAATTTTCCAGGATAACCATTAGATATTTTTCCATAGAAAGAAACAGTCACCTCTTGTTCCCTAATTTCTAAATGAACGTCACTGAAATTAAAGGTCGTAAATTCCAATATTGTCACAATAACAATGAATAATTTTGGTAGTACTGGTTTTAATACACTTTTGTTCTGTAATACATTAATATCAAAATAAATTAGGCAGCTAAAACATACATTACAAATTAATAACATTTATTAATGGTAAATTTCTACATTGAGACATGGTGTACTAGGAGCAGAGCATTGGTTATTAGCATTATTGTCACTACAACAAAAGTTGCCTATAACCACGTTTTTTACAAAACGTTTTTTGAAAAACGCTGTGGAAGAGGTAAAGTGAAATTAAAAGGCACGCATTTTCCTTTTATAAACACGCGTTCGACTTTTAAACGGTGCTCTGTCTCCCTCTGTAACCATTTCTTTTTCCGCCATTCTGTTTTCTCTATCCATTTCTCTCTTTTCTCTCTCCGTCCTAGATCTAGGGTTTCCTCTGTCTCCTCATGCTCCTTGAGAGATTCACCAGGGTTGATTCCGATTACTTGTTCAGATCTAATTCTAAATCCATCGATTCTTGAATCAATTTGGTTAAAATTTCTTGACGGTTTTTTGTTTTTCTTGATTCTGATTCTGATGATTTTGCAGAGGAAGATGGACCGGTTGAGTTGCACAAATCGGCGGGGTTACGAGATCGATGAGTGAAGAAGGATCAAGATAATCGGGATTGGGATCGGGACTGAGACCAATCGAATCGGGACTGAGGAAACTAGCCAATTGAGTGAATACTGGGTTTCTGGTAATCAGATTGAGTGAATATTGGGTTTCTGGTAATCGAGTTGCTACATTAGTGAAGGGATTTTATCTAGGGTTTCGAGCCTGTTAAAGCTCCTTCTCAGGTATGGTCCTCCCGTCGCTACTATCCCTTAAGTCTGGTCCTCTCACACTTTCTCTCTCTCTCTCTCGCTCCATCAGATCTGGTCTCATACACAGGACTCACTATATTCCTCGCTCTTCGATCTGGCCTCCCTTCAGTCGAATTGTACTCTTTTTAATCTTTTCACTTGCCATTTTTGTTCTGCTTTCTTTTCAATAGAATCTCATTCACTTTGATATTTTTGTTTTTCAATCTATGTTTGTATATTGGTAGGACATAATTTTACATATTTCTAATGAACATAGATAATTAGACTATGTTATTCCTTTTTGTCTTGAAGGAAGAAAACTAGAATCCTTGATTTAATTTTTTTTCTAAAAAAAAAAAATTTACTATAATGCGATGTTGGTTGTAGGCATTGGGGGTTTGTGCTTGCTTCATGGTCCAAGCATCATAGTTTTTGTGTTGCTGCGGTTTTATGGTAGAAGTTTGGTGTATAAACAGTACTGTTCTTGATGTAGTTGTTCTCAACTCTGTCAGACTTCCTTTCATTTTTTTTTCTGCATTTCTACTTCATATGTCATATGACCTTGGTCTTCAAGTTGAGAACATAAAAATCATTTGTAGTGTTTGATTGATCATTTTTAGCTAGCGTGTCTCTTCAGTTGATGAAGATTGAAACTCAATCCGAATCATTTCCAATTGATTATATCGATTCATTTAATTTTTTATCTCTTTTTTACACCCAATCATCTGCTTACTTATATATGTATATTTTATTTTTGTAGATGATCACAGATGCAGACATTCTTATTGTTACAACTGCGGATCTCCTCTAATAACCCACTACTGTAGTAAATGTAACCATTAAGTCCTCATAGATGCCAGCCTTTTTGCTCTTCTACTGCAAGTTAAAATGTAGAAAAGTAGTGCATGATATGCGCAGATAATGGAAATATTATTATTTAGGTGTATATATGGAGTCATTGGAAAACAAATTAGGGCATTGAAATTGCTTCTTAGCTGGTCCATTAAAATTTTAAGATATGATATAAAGGGCATTGATTTTGTGTCGCCTGCCCATCTTCCTGGTCCTCTATTGGCTTTTGCTTGAATACTTTCATGTTTTGTACCAGTGTTGAAGGAAAATTGGCTATTTTGACATTTTTTGTGTGCCATAATAAAACAAATAAGTAAACCTAGTTTACGTCTCATTGGAGGCTTTAGATTCATGGACCAACCTTTGTGCATCATAATCATAATCATAATATACATAAGCTTATTAGTATGCAAATTCATGGTTTAGGCAGATGGACAAGTTTATTCATTGCGTCAACCTTGTAATAATTTTTATAGGCCTTGCTCAATCTGAGTGAATTAGAAAGACAGTAGCCTGGATTTTCATTTTCCCTTGTGCTATCAGAAAGGTATTACTCCATTTATAGTTCTTTGACATATATAACTCCGACATAAAGTATAAAAACATAATTGTTTTTGAATAAGATCATAGTAACTGTTTGTGCTCTTTGCATGAAACTAATCATAAATTCATCATTTTGAAGGCAGATGTATCATCATCACCATCATCAAGGAAAGAACATCCACCCCTCCTCAAGAGGGTCCATTCCTCCAGAAAGGCATTTGTTCCTGCAATGGGGGAATGGTGCAGGAGATTCTGGACTTGTACCTTCGACCAATACAAAGCCTAGACTGAAATGGACAAAAGACCTCCATGAGCAGTTCATAGAAGCAGTAAATCAGCTTGGAGGAGCAGACAGTGAGTGCATACAACATAATAAGTTTAAGAAGAAACCAAAGGAAAAATGTCTAATGCTCAACTAATTGAAATATCTCTTCTTTGTTACAGATATTTCAATTAGTTTTGAAACTTATTAGTTGAGAATGAATGCCCATGGACTGTTGAAGTAATTCCGCTTTAAGTTTGCCATCCACACGTTTCGGCATCCCTTACAATGGTTGTTTACATTAATGAAAACTTCAGGGTAACCAAAGTTTTTAAGATCTGTTAGGGTGATTTTTAACAACTTGTGCCACATGGAGTAAACCTCTGCATCATCACCCACCCAACTTTCAATAATTCCACTACGATTAAGTAAACGAACATCCTTGGAGGCATTGATGAGGTGATCCATGAAGACAATATAGTCACAAACGTACTTTGGCTTAACATATGAAGGACACAGCTCAAATGCAACTAGGTTTGTGAAGAAAGACTCTGTATAGTCTGTGATGGATAATACTGGAATTTTTAAAGCCCCACTAATGAATTTTATATCAAACAAGTTGCTTCCCTCAGCCTTCTTGAATTGAACCCCAGCCTCCTGAAATTCCGTTGCAGAATTTATGAACTCCCATTTCTTTCTCATTACATTTCTATTCGTCTCATCAAACATTTTCGTCTCGTTACACCAACAATTATTTACTAGGTCAAGTAGATGTTTGATGTTGTTGATTGAGATTTGACTAGGAGCTTGTAATTTATTCTCTGGTGTAAAGTTTTTCAGAAAATCTAAGGCTATTTGAATGATTCCCAAGTTTGAATCGCTATTAGTTATGTCAAACAAACGGCTAAGGATAAAGAACGGAAGTTGATTTTCAAGTAGAATTAAATCACGTCCTATGGCATACAAAATCTGCTGTGATTGGAAAATATGATAACCCTCAGCTAGCGGTTCTTCTACTAGCTGGACTGATTGGAAATTTTGTTGATTTTCACCTGGCGAGCAGAACATCATAAACGTGCGAAATAACTCAATGATAAAGAAACCGTCAAGAAACATCATTTCCACGAACTGATCTGAGTCAACACCAAGGCCAAGGATAGTGGTTTCTTCCGCATAACATTTGCGTGCTCTATGTTCCAATTCTCTTATGGCCATGACATATCTATTCACACTCGTCTCATTTCATGGATACAGAAACCTTCGTAGGTGCCGTAATTTGTGGAGTTCCATTTCTTGTAGGTTTGGTTTGCCATGATGGTAAGGACCAAAAGCAACTTTTGATGGTTCATAGGCTTTCTCATTTTCTTTTCGTAAGTGATCATACATTCTGAAGATACAACACTCAGAGGATGGATTACATAAATTAGCAAATTTTTCGTAAGTGATCATCAACTCTTCCTTTCAGTTTTCTTGTGCCCATGACTTCCTTGAAACAAACTAATTGTCATGCTTTTGTTATATATATATATATATATATAAATGTATAATTATTAACATAGAAATAATTAATAATAAATAATTTGCTCCTTCCGTCTAAATTGAAAGTTGAAATTAATAATTTTGGAACACTTGTCAATTTTTTAAGGTTTTAATTTGATTCTTCCGTCTAAATTAGACGTTAAAATTAATAATTTTATAATACTACTCAATTTTTCTAAGATATACACACACAAAATAACAAAAGTTTAGACAGAATAATCAAATTAAAACTAGTTTTAAAGCACTACAGGAAAAATGGTGTATAGCAACGTTTTTTTTGTGGCGTTTAGGAAAACGCCACTATAAATTCACGAAACACAACGTTTTCAAAAAACGTTGTGTCTGACCTCAGTGAAACGGTGCCGTATTGGGTCAATGTATTCACCGTCAAAACTCCGTCTCTTTGAATTCAGTCTCTCTTTCTCAGTCTACCACAACTCAGTTTCCCTCTCTTCCAAAACCCTCGATTTGAAGCTCTCACTCTCTCTCGCTTGCTCACTCAATTTCTTATTCTCAACCCTCGATTTGCTCGATTGCAGATCCAAAACCCTCGATGGTTTGCGCTTCTTCGATCTCTGTCGCTCGCAATCGAACTCTCTAGCTATTCTTCATCGATCTCTGTCACTCAAGGGCTTTGCTCTAGCTGTTCTTCATCGAACTCGAACTCGATCTGTTCTTCATCAAATCGATCCATTCTGTTCTTCATCAAATCGATCTGTTCTTCATCAAATCGCAGATCCAAAATCCAAAATCGATCTGGTAAAAATTCATTCTGTTCTTCATCAAATCCATTCTGTTCTTCTTCAAATCCATTCTGTTCTTCATCCTCTCGCTCCTGGTTTTTCAGGAACTCGATTTTGTGTAGTGGTAAAAATTAATAAATAAATAAAATGTAGCGAGAAACTCATTTACTATAGCATCATTCATTTTATATTTCAAGTTTAGAAGTTTGAGTCGGTGATGTTGAGTAGTGTAGCTTGTTACTTTGTATTTTAAAATCCTCTTCCCTGTTGCTTTGATTGATTGTAGACTTTTTGCTTCACTTCCTTTCAGGCGTTCGTTGATAGTGGTGCTCAGTCAACAATCATATCTAAAAGCTGCGCTGAGCGCTGTGGGTAAGTTCTATTTATTGCACTTAGTTCTGAACAATTATACCTTGCTTCCTTAGAAAGATTAGTAATGTAGATTAACATACAAAAACCTGCGCGTGCTTGAACTACCTGTAGATGCATGCAAACACCTGATTAATATTTGACTTTTGTACTTGTGTAGAACAATTCTAAATGAGCAACCAATCCATTTCATTCCTATCGAATTGGCATCTCTTCCATGTGTTCTTAGTTTGTTTTGCGTTATTTTAGGGTAGGCCAAATGGCAATGTGGTGTGAATATGAATCATGGAGTAGAATGACAATGTGGCAGGGATATGAATCATTGACATTACCCATGTCCATTACATAGATGAACCTCTCTGAAATTAGTGGTTATAACTTATAGCTTATTTATGTGATTGCTCAAGTTAAGGTAGTGTCTGGTGTGCAAATTTATGTGATTTCTGTGAGTCTGTGCCGTCGTCTTATTGATATAATTCGAAAGATGGTTGACCCAGAGGAAATGTGAAGTGAAGTTTTCATTGTTGTAACTTGTACCTTTGTCATTTGGAAGAGATCTTTCTATGGCTATTGCACACATTTTTCAGTTGGTAACTAGGTAAGATGGAGTTGAATAATGCCATTCGTGTTTTAATACATTATAGTTGGGTAACCGGCTTAAGCTAGCTACTACTTGTATTTTTTTGTTTCCTCCATTTGTAAAGATTGTCATCCTGGTATTTGAGTTTTGGATCTTCATGTGTTCACTTAATCCAAGGCCTTATTTATTTATACAATAATGTGGTGAAAGGTATTCTTGCAACTCGAGAGTGGGAATTTGGAAAGTAACGACTTGAATACTTAACAAACAGTTGACTATATAAGAGACCTTAAGACTTTGTTTGCTTCAAGATTACGAAACAGCATGTAGGAAATTACATATGTTTTAGCTGAAGAATTCAGTACAGTGCAAACAAGCCTTGTAAATGGGGAAAAGGGCCAAGCCCTGGTTCAACACACACCTTTTCTACCTAAAAACTGCAAACAAGCTAAAGAATCCAAGAGCTCCAATAGAGACAATCTTCTAAATTTTCTTGATCCTGATGACTGATAGAAACATTTTTCCTATGCACTTCTGTGGGCATAGATTGTTAGTGATTCATGTTATTCATTTTGTCATGATCATTGTTTTCTACTTTGTCTACACTATAGTATGTTTAAGATCTAAGTGAAGAAAGGCTTATTGTCATTGATACATCCTCTTGCAGATTGTTGAGGCTTATGGATCAACGTTATAAGGGCATTGCTCATGGGGTTGGTCAATCGGAGATATTAGGTCGGATTCATGTTGCTCCAATCAAGGTAATGTCCATACCAGTTTTCTAGGGAAGTTGCTTTGTCGCCTTTGATTTTCTGATCAGTAGGCCTCTATGTCTGCATGTGCATGCACGCCTACTTGTGTGTATGGATAATCTGATGTATATGTTATAAACACTCTAAATAATTGCACTTTCTTGGCATTGAAAATAAGTAACAACTTTGATTGCATTGCAGCATTCTCTCCCTTGAAAATTAGATTGGGTGGTGCTTTACAAGACAAAGTCGTATATGAAAGCGTTGGCGTGCCATGTACACAATTTGTTTTAAATAGTGCAGAGATATTTGGCTTCACTCAAGGTTGCTTGCCCATGTCCCGCTGGGACGCACTAAACAGTTTCTTCAAAAATGCCGGGTAAGAAGATCATTTTTACCATTTAATATCCAAACAAGCAAAAAATTTGCAATAATATGGTAATGTCTTTAAATATTTGTAAATTCATACTAGTTCTTGTGAATATTGAACCCTATTCCGACACTATTCTGATTACTTGATCTTTTCATGTACAGAGCAAAAATTATATTTGGCTTGAATGCATTAAGTGGCAGAACAGTAGGACCTGACGGTTCTGCTGTAGGAGCTTGGAATTCCAGCAATGCAGAATCTCTTATAAGATATACTGTCAACAATTTTTATGACTCCTTGTATTTTGGCCAGATTACAGTATATTTTTTCCAGCTCCTTAGCAGGTGAGCGTATCTACATCTTCATGGTGTAGTTCGAAATATCATTTATTGGGTGGTAATGCTCTATATATTCTATATGATGTATTCGATCAGTTAAATTTTTATTCGGGCATCTCATATTGTCATATTCACAACATGTCTTGGAAGTACCTTGATATCATTACAATCTCATTGTTTTATTATGTGAATCATTTTGTATCATTTTGAGAACTTACTGAGAGGTGTGAACTAGAGTCAGATTTCTTGTACTTAACCTAGAGTGAATATAATAAGATATAAATGAGACATTTTGAGAACTTGGGGTAGTAATTGGTGACAATGTCAAAGCCAGCTGAGATGTTTCACTCATGAACCACAAAGATTATGAGTCTATGACAAGACTCTCTTAAGGGTGGTATGGTTCGATTTGAGGGTTGTCTAGATAACCCAGTTTGTTAGATGGTTAACATATGAATATTTGAACTATCTGGTATGACCTCCTAGAGACTTTATCAAACTTTCCTCTTGAATTTAAGTTCAGACAGGGTTTTATAAAGAAAGTAATGTTGACATAAGCATCTCATACTGGGCTTGTTAAGAAGCCCATTCACAACCAAGCTCAAGCTTAGGTTTGGGCAAGATTGCTCCACAAACTAACTCTATTGAAATTGGGATTTACTTGAGGCCTCATGAAAAGTTGGCGCTACACTTATATGGCTTTGGTAACTGTGACAAAAAGGAAGAAGTACCTTGCGTTTTAGATATGACAAAAATATGGATAAGCTCTTGGAGTATCTTGTAATTACAATTGAAGTTGAATATCTTTCGATATGGAAATTAGAATGAATAGGTAAATGAACAAATTTGACAAGCTTGATTAGGCTCATGAACATGACAACTCTTGTTTTAGGGTAAGTTCAAGCTTTTTCTTCTGCACTCTATGACTGAAGTTTGTTTTTCTCAACTCTAGTTATCAATTGTCTAACATCCTGCGTAGTTGCAGTATTAACTTATTAATTAGCCATTTTGCTTTTGTTTTTGGATGTGTTATCTTATACGCTTCTTGTTGCTTTTAGAAATCAGATGTTGGACATTCTACAACTACACAAAACGATGTTAAAATTTGCTAGTGGAGCAGTGCTTCTGATAAAGCTCAGCCATTTTTTATCAGATTAAATGTTTGGCATCTAAAAAACAAGTTCGTAAACTAGCATGGCCAGAATGGGAACATTGAGATGGATATTTTATAAGTTGGGCAAGGATAGAACTAGGAATGAATAAATTGATGAGAGTTCAGAAGTAAATGCTTTTGGAGAGGTTTTATATCACTTTTGGAGCCAACTTGATGAAGTGATAGACTATCAAACCAAGTTCATCAGATTAGTCAGAGCACACAGATTTCATGTTTGGATCTAATTTTTCACTGTTTGGGGTTAGTTCTAGCTATGCAATAAAGGTTGATTACAAGATGTGTTATTTGCATCATTTTGTTTGGAGATCCTTGCATCATTACAATCTCATTGTTTTATTATGTGAATCATTTTGTTTTGTGTTTCAGTATTGTTGGGTTGAAATAGAAATTTGGTGATGCAATTGACTAATTGGATTAAGATTACGTTTACTTTATCTTTAGCCATAAAGAGAAACTTTGAAAGTAAAATTGAAGATAAAATTTGTTTTCATTGATTGGTGATGTGAGGATAAGAGTTTAGCGTAGGATTAAGACAAAGAACACAGTCCAGAGTAAGAGAATGTTGGTTTTCTATTTATTAGTATTATTTCATCAGGTGGTGCTCTCCGTACTCGAACTATCTGTAATCTCTCTTATGAGTATATATTTATGTGATGAACGTGAAGTTTGAATGTGGGTGCTTGCAAGTGGAGGTGAGAGTTTTGAACCTAACTTGCGATTGATGTACTAACTTTTTGTTAACTTTATTATTGGCAATGATTATAATTTGTTAACTTTTTATTTTATTTTGGGTTAGCTTCTTTATTTTTTTGACTGATTCCAGTGTTTTTCTGTAGGAGCATTGGCCAGCTTGTTCCTTGAAATAAGCATTGGCCTATGAATGAGTTATTCAATATTTTGATGGTTTTTTAACATTTTTTTGGGTTATGGTTTGTGGTTAAATATAAATAGGTAGGAAATGTTACAATTTTTCTTCTATTGTTTGTCAAATGTAAAATTTTAGCGATCTGGAAGAGGAATTAAACTTGTTTGGTTTATTTTTAGTTTATGTGCTTCTGTATAGAATCTTGGACTTTTGGATTTGACCTTGTTTAGCTAATAGTGCAATTTGAAAATTGAATCTTTTTTTTTTTGGGGAGAAGTGTATTATTTTGCAGATTTAGTCAGGGCAAATGAAATTTATTTATATTTGTTCATTTTATATTTTTTTTAAAATAAGGAGAAAAGATGGCGTTTTTGAAAAAAACGTTGCTAAATGTCGTGATATGATGTCAGTGTTTAACTGTAACGGAAAAGATGGCGTTTTTAAAAAACGTCATTAAATGTCGTCATATGACGTCAGCTTTTAACTGTGACGGTTTATGTTAACGGATGTTCAAGAATTTGCGGCGTTTTAAAAAGCGCCGGCTAAAGTCATTAGTGACGTTTAATAAACGTCAATAACCTAAGACGGCGGCCGTATCCTTGACGCAAGTTATAAACGTCACTTTATCCTTTAACGGCGTTTTTAAGGCTTATAGTGGCGTTTTTTAAACGTCGCTAATGCCAAAAATTCCTGCAGTGTGTTGTTGTCACATTATTAAAATATATTCCAATTTTGGGAACAAATAAGCTAAAGATGGCCCCAAGAAATTAAGGGAAGAAACATGAATTATTCTCTATTTTTTTTTATAAAAAAAAAAAGAAAAAAATTCTACTTGTGGGGGAATCGGTGCAAGTAAATGTGTAATAAACAAAAAATGTAAGGGAAGAAACATGAACTATTCACTTACAATATTTTGTTTCCCCTTGCTGGCATCTATGGGTGGGCGTCTCTACAAAGTCATAAAAACATTAAGCAAATTAACATGTAACGGATGCAAATTAACAGAACCTAGATCACTCATCAAAATCATTGCCAATGATTAACATCTACAGGCAAGGGGCATCATTTGTTATCACTGGTAAGTTCAAAATTACAATCAAGGGATTATCCTAGAGAATTTACATGGTGGTTGAATTTATGTAATTCACATTTTCCATTTAAGTCTCAAAAAAGCTTTAAAAGGGATGTTAGAAGGTCCCCCTTAATATATAGTAGTGTAGGAAAATATTTATGTTGTACTCCTGCTGGGCTATTTATAATAACCACTTATAAAAGCAACCAACCACGATTAAGAAAAGAAACATATGCTGACTACACATAAAACAACGGCAAAGTAGAAAAGAATAAAATGCCCCAGTTATCTACCTTGCAAAACTTCTTGAAAACGGGAAAGATGACCTCATCATCATAACAACTTCAGCATGGTTCCGAACTAAAGAAATCCACTGAAAGTACAAAATCAATTTTCAAATCAGAGGACAAAATATGCATATAATATCCTCAAAGTCATAATATATATATATATTTTTTGATCAACAACAAAAGAAAGATATTATTAACATAGAAAACAAAAGAAAAATAATAACAACCACAATTTCTTGTTTGTACAGCCACAGAAGAAAAAAAAAAAAAAAAAAAAAAAAAAAAAAAAAAAAGTTAGTTAAGTTCATTTTAAGGAGCAATATTTACAAGCGAAAGGTAGAAGATGACATTCCTCATTTAGTTTTTGACAAGTAGAACAAGCATTACTCTCGTACCATAGTTCACAAAATATTTTAAGCTACAAAAAAATTCGACTTGACTGGTGCATTAATATAGCAATTTCCATATATAAGAGTAGGGTAGAGAACTGGCTTAAAAGTTTAAGATTGAACTAAAGCAGAGAAGTTTATGGTATTTTCCTTGAATTGAATAAATTGAAGGAGTCAATAGAGACAAGTTGATACTAGTATTCAACATTAATCCAAAAAAATAATTAAAGATCAAAAGATAATACAATGAGTTTTGGGGAGTCTTCCAATACCCCAAGCCATTCCGGAATGTTATAAGTAGCATTTAAGAATATGATTTTGTTCTTTACAAACAAAGCTAATACAAAAAATAGCCCCACCACTCTCAATAATGGTATGGATAATATTCAAGGTTTCCATACTTCAATTTACAACTACTAGTGTCTTGTAAAACAATATGGAAGAGTTCGTCGTTAATGGGACAATAAGGCAGGTCTAAATGAACCACCTAGCTTTTTGCATAAATGACTCACATAATGTACTTATGAATGACCTTTAACAATCTCTATTAAGTATATTTATTGTTGTAAA